GAGATCCTTACAGCAACTCCCCGGCCATCTGCTATGAAAGTCATTCTGCTGAAGGTCAAGAAAAAAAAAGCTGCAGATGAACAATAAGGTTGATGCAAACAAAAAAGGGGATGTATTAGCAGCAGGCAGGAAGCCAGAGAGTACATGGATAACCCCTGAACAGCGTGGAGGACTTGATAGATTAAATAAGAAACCGTAGATGGAAAACTATGAAAAGACTGAAAGTCCCGTTATGGAGGCCGTAGATGTGTGTGTTATTCAAACATATTAGAAATTCTGACTCATTGTGATTTAGTGACAGTCACTGTTAACTTTAGTGAATATACCAGTTAAGATGTCAAGGGCCATGCTATAAAAATGAGTTCTTACTTCCAGCATCTAATTGTTATGGGTGTTTTTATTTATGGTGGCTTCTGAGGTCAAACACAGGTAATGGAATGTGATAAAATAGGTTTTTTATTCACTAAGTGACTCAATTATTAAATTTCTCTCAGAGTCAAAATGATTTACAATTTCCCACTTTGATTATAAATTATCAGTTACTAAAATTGTTGTCATTCACTCAATTATACCAGAGATCCAGGAGGGAATCATACTGCCAGTGTGGTGTGGGACTTATTGTGCCAAGAATTGTCCAGTCCAGTACTGTAACGGCAGCTAGATGGAATGTTTGCAAAACATTTTATTGTGGGAAAGAGCATAGGTGTTAAAATGCTATGTAGAACTACAAATTTGGGAATGCTGCTTTTATCAGTAGTGAGCTTATAGTGTTAAATAAGACAAAATTTCATTACCTCGGAAATCATTAACACACCTTTCATTCAAACAATAGCTGGTCTGTGAGTCATCAAAAGTCAAAACAAAATTTTAAGAGGAGCATTTGTAGCACGCAGCTGTCATTGTAGAGCAGCAGGCGGGGACTGAGCTTTAATCTAAGGAGTTGGGGAGGGTTGAATCTAGCTTTGAAGTGGGGTCAAACATTCACAACCCATAAAAATATTTTGTGAATTAACTGCCTTCTATAAATTTACTTTCTTATAGTTTTTGTTTATGTACTGTCAACTTCATAAATAAATAGTTATAGTATCTTTTTGCATGGAGAGAATAAAAACACAGTTTAGCTTTTCCAAAAAGTTGATTCAATCTTTTAAAATCAGTAACACATTAGAAAAATTTCAAACCACTTCACTGTGTGGGTGAGTTTTGTGCATCATTTCAGTGGTTCTGCCAGGCTGCCAGGCCTCCGGGCCTTAGATTTGCCCCAAGGGGTTAAATACAGAGGACGTGCAAGGACTTGCACACACTCACTGTTCACAGTACTCCCTGAGCTCATTTTCGTTCAACACAGCAATTCTAGTATCACTGATTTCACGATTCTCATAGAAAATAAGTATGTCTGATACGTGTACCATTATGCCTAGTTGTACTCAGTACATTATCAAGTATGTTTTCAAAAGAAATTTTCTTTTAAGCAGGCATTAATGAGAACTATATGATTCATTTAAAACTTTTCATGTCCGATGATCGAGGTTGTTTTCCAGAAAAAAGCATTCAACTATTGCTTCTGTCCCACACCTTACTTACATCTGATACCAGTTATCTAAGTAAGCCTTTCAATCCTTCCTAAAGTGATCTCTGAGAGGTCATATGGAATGATGAACCCCATTATCCTATCAACCCCAAAGTCCATGTATCCAAAACACCTTTCTCTTAGCAAGATCAACTATGCCACTGGTGGAGAAGAGGTTGACCAAACCGGTTGTAGCCAATTTCTGGTTATTTAATTTTGCTGTTTTATCAAAACCAATGTAAATACATTATGATAAGGCCCAGAAGTGGGGAGAGGGTGGTGGTCAGTGACATTCCAGCATCATTAGATCACAGTTAATCTACATTGGCTTTGGGTCAGGATACTACTTTTCTCTCACTATGAAAATACCTTAACTTGTTTGAATTCCAGTATTCCCTTTGTTGGATGAGGTTGCTACTAATACTATGTGTTTCTTGGAGTTACTGAGAGCTCTGAGTGAGTTCATTCATGGAAATTGTTGTTGTAAACCATGATACATAATAAAGATACAGCAAATATTACCTCTCATTATTAATGAAAGGTATAAAATGCAGAGTGTTATATAACAGAGTGCCTAGAAGAAAAATTCATATGCTAATAATAAAGACACTAAGCAGATATAATTATCATATACATTAGCTAAAGTTAATTCTTTAAGAATAACATTAGTCTACTAGAGAGACAATACGATATTTACAAATGTGAGTCTGATTTATTTCACTTATGAGGATAGTCTCAAGTTGCCTCCATTTACCTACGAAAGCCTATCCTTTTTATAGCTGAGTAATATTCCATTGTATGAAAATACCACATCTTTTTCATCCATTCTGCGGCTGATGGGCATCTGGGTTGTTTCCAAGATCTGGCTATTACAAATTGTGCTGCTGTAAACATGGGTACACATAAATCACTGTGACATGACCTTTTCCATTTTTTTTGAAAATACCCAGGAGGGGAATAGCTGGATTGAATGGAACTTCCAGTCCTAGTTTTTTGAGGAATCTCCATACTGAATTCTGTATTCTTTCTACCCTTTTTTAAATTTTGCTTTTTTTCTCTAAATAAAAAAAGAATAACATTATTCTAAATTTTCATGTATATTTGCAAACAAAACTTTAGAAGTTCTATCCAAGACATTAAACTCATGCGGATGGTACACCCCTTTCCTTTCTTGGTGCTTCTGAGCTGGTGAGTGACTTGCGGTACTATCATCATACTATAGGAGGGAAGGAAGCTGCCTTCCTAGTGCTAATTATCTTAGCATTAGAGTGTTACAGTTCCTTTCCTAGGAAGCATAGCAAAATATCTACAGAAGAAAAGCAAACAATATAGAAAACAATTCTAGCAATAGTTTTATTTATAGGAAAAATTTTTCTTTTCCCTCTCCACCCCCTTTGGTACTGGGAATTGAACTCATGGCCTCAAGCTTTCCAGGCAGGCACTGTGCCACTGAGCCATATTCCTGCCTCCCATAGGAAATTTTTTCATTGCTAATAAAATCAAGGAACAGTATAAACCTTACTCAGGCTGTGCACATTCATTGCTCACTTTACCTTGAAAATGTAAATATTTAATAAGATTCAAATAGTGAGGCTGTACAAAATATCTAAATGGAAAGGTATGAGATATTCTAGAGCCAAATTTGACCCACAAGCCCTTAAAGAAATGAACATATAATCTCTCAAAGTCATAAATTAATATACTGGATGATTCTCCAGACAGTAGGGACCAAAATAAATCGTGAAGCCAGAAATACTTTCTGCTATTAGCAAGCAGTAAGAATGCCAAATATAGAAAAATAGAGAAAGCCTTAAAAAAAAAAAAGAATTCACTGTAGAACCATATATCTGCTTAAAGCAAACCAGATTATACTTCTAATTATGATTTTATTAGAGACCAGACTTTGAAACATCTTGAATTTGAACATTTGCCTTTGAAAAGCTGAGGTTCTTCTCAAAGTCTCTGTAAATGTACCTGTCTTCCAAATTAAATGAATTACTGCTCTCTGCTCTGATTTTTTGGCTTCTCAGTATCTTGATCGCACTATGGGGAATCGGAAGAAATGCCACTGACCTAAAGAATCTCAGTCTTACATGATCTAAAGTAACACTTGTGAGGGCTCAGGTATAACATAGAAAAAATCCTGGCAGTTATCTTATTTTTCTTGAAGAAACTAGAGCTGAGCTTTGCCAAGCAGACAGCTATGAGCTCACTAGTCCGAAATAAATACTCAAGACTTTTCCCCAGGACACAGCTAATGGGTTTATGCAGGAAATATAACTCCAGTATTGATTTACAGGGTGTTTCTTTTAAAATCAGTAATCAGAACCCTTTGCCTATGTTGGGCTGGACAAAGTCCTCTGTTATACTAATCAATGAACCAGAGAATTAAATGTAAAATCAACCCAACCAAAGTAAGCTGTTTTAAATTCACATTCTTTTGTGTTTAGTGACCTCATTCCTGTTTTAGGAGATAAAGAAATAAGCCCCAAATAATTGAAATTGATAGAGATTTTAAAGAGTATTGTGTTCCCTGGCTATGACACAAATATAATACAAAGTCGAGCAAACCCCCCAACAAATTGTTCTAGAACCAAAACCAAAATCTTTTTAACTGAGATGAGAGGTACTCAGTCAAGGGAACAGGAACATCAAAGGTGAGTTGTGTGCAAACGATTTCCGAGGGAAGATGCAAAGCAGGATTCAAAACACCAAGTTGTACTGTTTTTAAATTTTTGCTCAAAGCTGAAAGATGACAAATGGAAATGCTGGAAAACAACAAATGATTTCCCTAAAATTCAGAGATGAATAGAGTAAGATGAGCAGCTTCTTTCAACACTTCTAATCTATGTTTAAGTAAGAGAAGAGATACATGCAGATCTGACAATGCTCAACGCTCAGTTCTCAAACTCGGATAGTTAAGCAGAATATTATCTTTGTTCTTGAAATGCTATATTTATCATATTTGTTCTTTTCTTTTTTAAATTTTTTTTTACTTTTTATTTTTTGTCTTTTCTTTTTTATTGGTACCGGGGCTCATATGCTGCTGAGCTAAATCTCCAGCCCCTGTTCTTTTCTTTTCAAGTAAAGCAGTCTGACTTTTCATGCGTACTGACCCCAGAAAGCCTATTACTCGCACTGATGACAGTAAAGCAATTTTTTCAAAACAGTATTTGAGGATGTCGCACTGTAAAATCAAGATATATACATGTTCAAGTAGAGAATCTGCTGATCTAATGCACAAATCTTAACAATGCAAATAATGTTTATTTCTTCTTATTAGCAGTTGTTAAATTGCAGAGATAAATAGATCAGTAACAATCAAAATAAAAATATACTATTGATGATATCAAAAACTGATCACATCTCACCCATGAAGCTCAAAGAAGAATCCAATTCATTCAGCAAGCAATTCTGACGTAAGTCTTACCTATAAAGGCTTTCTCTACCTTTTTCTTTGAAGTAAACCCTTCCCATGATTCCTCTACTCCTTCCCTCTTTACGTCTTTACACGGTAGCTCCTTCTTGTCATCAGGTACTGGCATCAATGGCACCTATCATCAAAAAGCATCTGGGGCTGCAGTCATCTGAAAGCCTGATTGGGCTGTGACATCTGGCTCCTGAGCACCTCACTCACATGGCAGCGTTCGATGCTGGCTGTTGGCTACAGGCCTTGATTTTCCCCACGAGGGCCTCTCCCTGGGACAGCCTGAAAGTTCCCACACTCTTGATCACAGCTCACTATTTTTAAACAGCAGACCTTTGAGGTACGGAAAAAAAAATCCTTGCAAGCTCATATTTTACGTAAGTCCTATGAATGTATTATTGAAAATATCCAATATGCAAAAAGGTATAGAGAACTTTTAAAGTTTTTTGTTCTTTCTAAAGAGCCTGAAAAAATTATTAACTTCTTGAGAATGATGGAATAAATGAAAACAATCATAAAATGACTACCCCTGTCTTTTGCACTTTTTATTTATACCATTTTACTGGTTTTGTCATACTGTCTACTTAGCTGGAGATGTGCAGCACTCCAACTCTTTGAAATGTCAAAGTAGGATTAGTGCCAAGTTCAGAGGAAGCTGGGAGGAGCTTTAATAGGTATTTGGAAGCAGATCCCCAGACAGAATCTGCAACTCATTTCTCTGGTAAGACAATGACATATTACAATTCTTCTACCAAAAATTATCTCACTTGTTAGCAGCAGATTATTCAGGGGCCTGGAAAAGATAGAGTATTATTTTACCACCCAGAGTCAAACTAAGCGCAGGCGGTAGCCTTTGGTACCCTTTGCTTTCCTAAAGATTAAACACCAAGAAAGGAAAATTTTTTTTAAGTTGCCAAAAACAAAAATTATCTGTCTGAATTTTTAATGTCATAATCATTATTTTTAAAAAGTGAAAAAGCAGTTTCTCCCAATTATTTGAAATGAGACAGATGAATTTCAACTATCATCACTAAAACTAATCATTTGGACAAGTAAATACATCAGTCCACAAATTAACCAAAGCCAATTTAGAAAAACATCTTTGTAAACACATAAAAAAGCACTGCAAAAGCAAAGAAAATAAAGACAAGTCTATGATGTTAACAAAAGTAGGAATGAGATTTAATTAATGTGAGAACTCAAAAATTCACTAAAGAGAATTTATTTCTGAAATTACAGTTTATTCACCTTCTAATCCTTTGACATCAAAGCAATGAAGCATTCCTGTCAGGGAAACTACTGCTTTTTATAGCTAAAAGCTACAAAGTGCCAAAGCTATTTGTTATGTAAAACTTGACAACTGATACCACACTAAATTTCAGATAGCCTTTTGCATGGATGAATTAGAGTAGGGCCTTCAAAATCCATTTTACTTTAGGACTGGAGCGGTTCTCATAGCCCATTAAATCTCATTCACTACACTATCAGAGTAAAAACCCATTAGACAATTTTATGCTGCCATGCCTGAGCCCCAGTGTTACCAATGCATCCTAGAAAAATCCTTTTTCAGAAATCAAAACCTGGCACTGAATTTTAGGGACTCAAGGCAGCCAGCAGCCAGCAACCAGCTGGAGGATCAACAGGGTAGCCAAGACCAGAGAGGCTGAGAGTGCAGCCAAAGCACAGCGCTTTCCCAAGGTAATTCTCACGCAGCAGAAGGGTTTGCTGTTAACTGGTTATAGCTCAGAAAGCGAGGAGTTTGATTTGGAGACTAAACCCCATGAATATAAGTCAAAGACACCAAAGAGAATGATCTCTGCGAAAGGAAATTTTTGCCTTCATGTAAATTCACAATCAGGAAATAAGAGATTTTGAGTTTCCCAAATTCCCACTTTCTCTGACTTTCCTTCTTGTCCCACATTCAAACATCAGCAAGCAAAGAGATGATTCTTTTCAGCTTCATGTTATAAGGTCACTTCCTGCTGCTCATGCTCCTGGCTTTGGAAAGAATCTACTTATCACCATTTTTTTTTTTTTTTTTTTTAGCAGCTCTAGGATATAATGACACCACTGTGAAGTAAACCTTTCCCTATGGAGTACTACCACTTCACTGTAATAACCCACCATCCTGGTGAGATTTGACTTCCAACTACCAGATTCTCCTAATCCCCAATATGTATGAGCTAGTCACTTTCCTCCTGCAGTAGACTAAGCAAAATATGGCAGCCTATAGGCTTGGTTGCCCAGTGACTTTTGTAAAAAATGAAAATATAGATTGTTTACCATCACAATGACAAATGTCACACTCCTATATTTGCCTTTGCAAAGAAAGGGGTACTTCTGGGAATGACTTGCACTTATTTAGTACGCACAAAAAGTCAAATATAACCAAGCACCTGAAATACATATACTCATGGCCATAAATATTCTATCCCAATGCTGACATCACTGGTTTCCCCAGTTTTCAGATCTAGAACTCTTTTCTACCATATTCTCTGGATTTTTCTACATCTCATCATAGCTCTTCCTTTTGTTACTAATGTTCATGAAAGACATGGCATTTTCATTCATGTTAAAGGACAAAACATCTTTCTTTCTTTCTTTCTTTCTTTCTTTCTTTCTTTCTTTCTTTCTTTCTTTCTTTCTTTCTTTCTTTCTTTCTTTCTTTCTCTCTTTCTTTATTTTTGGTACCAGGGATTGAACTCATGACTTCACACACTAAGCTAAACTCCTGGCCATTTTAAAAATTTTATGCAGATATAAATCACTAGCCTAATCACCAAGGATTTGGAACACAGATAAGCCAAAACTATTGAAAAGTCAATTCTAAGTACAAATAAAGAAAGAAAAGCTTAAAGTGCCATCTTGAATAATGTGGCAACAGATAAAGTGATTTCTCTTGCTATAGAATAAGTAGTGGAGCTGCAAATACATACCATGATTGTGGCTATAAAAGGCTTTTAAGATTCTATTATGCAAAACTCACTGGATAGATGAGGATGACCAAAGTAGGGCAAAGAATTTAGGAAAACCTGATAATATGCTAGTGCATGACAGAAACAGCATAAAAGTACAAGTTATTAAGTAATCAGATATACCTAGTATAGACTTTGTTGAATATCCCCAGACTTTATTTCTGAGCTGAGGGGAAAACCGGGTTCCTCTGCCTAAATATAAAACTATTGAGCTGCATAGAGACAGGGTCAAGGTATGCTTTATGATTAGACCACACTGATTTGTTATCACACTGGTCTCTGTATATCCAAATGACAGACAACTCCTACATGGATAACTGAGAGTTCAATAAACTGCTTTTGTTTCAATAAGCCGCTTGAGAAAATGAAAATTTGATCCTCACAAGGCAGCATCAGTAGCAAAGTTGGCCAAAGCACTTGGAACTTCCAAGCTTCCCAGAGGAACTTTTAAAAATTTGCCTCTCGTGGTGCAGGAGAGTTCAGCAAATATTAAAGTTTACTGTCCTTTCCTCTTCAGACAAACACCAACTGCCCGCTTTGGGCATACCCATATTTTCACAGGCCTTACAAAGAGCTGTTAAGATTCAGAACCATTATCAAGGAAGACTTGGCAGAATCTATCTAATAGTTTCGAGAGACAGAAAACTGGCCCAGAAGTGGCTTTGTAACCTTCAATCACCTGCTGGCATTGCTGCAATCTGATGCCTAAGAAATGAGGATTCAGTGTCTTTGATGCCCAGTCAAAGCTTTGAAGCTGAGTCAAGACCACAAGACAAAGGCAGCACTGTGCATGCAAATCAAGAAACAAAGGAAGCTAAACTCCAAATCCATTAAAAGTAACATCAGAAATCCAATACTCAGAGATGATGAGAGGCCCTGCATCACTGTGAAATAGGAAACCTAAAAGCGAAGCTGGGCAGTACACCAAAACACATGTTATGAGAAGGGATCCCAAGCTGGGCAGAGCCTGGCCGGAAAAGCACTCAGAAGCCTTCATACACGCAGCTCCCTTGTCCTAGAGGCAGCCGTCTGTGCCAAAGGGAACCGGACTGAAGCGCCTTCCATACCCTCCATACAGAGCCCTTCGTTAGAAGTTCCAGTACGTGTCCCACAAGACTGATCCTCACATTGCCAACTGAGCATGTCTTGCAAAAGAGGCAACCGTCTAGTGGACATCTTTGGGCAGTAAACAACAGAATGCAATAGCATGGGCTTCCTAGAAGAATTAGGGCTTTTAAAAAAAATCACCCCCCAAAAAATCTAAAGTAACATTGAGGGCATGGGAAACATCAATTACAGAGTTAAGATTCATGAAAAAGAAAATCAAAAGTAAAAAAATTAAATATGAGCAACAAAGGAAGCAAGATTAGGGAAAATGGAAACTGAAGTGGTTCAAGTGACTGTTGTTCAGTTGCTTTGATTTTCCTCTATGTTACTAAAGACATGCGAATGTAAATTTTTCTTCTATAAAACTAAGTATTTAATGAACTTTTACATGACACATTAAGAAAAGTGAAGAATTTGAGTGTGTCCGGAGCTTCATATGATGGGCAAACAGTTTGGGATACTCCCTTTAAAATAATTTTGTTTTGAAATTTAGCCACCGTTGGACAGAAGAAAATGCATGTGCTTAATATAACAGAAAGCATTTATGAAATGTGCCAAACAGGCTTCTCTTTTATAATTCTATACGTTACTGTTTCTCTGTTAAGGAAACCTCTTGGCCTTTTTTATAGCGTAAGCATCTGGAATTGGGAGCAGAATATTCCAAGGTATGCCAATTTTCCAAACTCTGAAAATTCTAAACTCTATGTCCTGTACATAGTGTTGCATACACAGCCTTTGGTTCTTCCATATAGGTCTCCTAATGTTCAGTGGACCTTCTGAGAGCTTGTTTTGTGGTTCCCAATCTCAGAGAAACATCTGAATCAGTTGTGTGCGTAACTATAATACAGATTCCCAGCACTCACTCAGGAATCATATGATTGAATGTAGCTGAAACAGGCCCCAGGAATTTAAGTATCTAACAAATGCTCCAACTATTGAGATGCAGCTAACCCAGAAGTGCTACTTGGAAACACTAGTGGAAGTCCAAGAGCCTTGTATCAAAAGGAGGCAGAGCAGTGATGAAGACCACGGCCACTCACAGACAGTAAACTAAACCCATGGGGGTGAATTACTTTTAGATCACCTCAGTTACTAATTTCATCATGACCAACTGGGTTTGCCCACATGAAGCATCAGTGGTGACCAATTAAATCAGAGGATATATATATATATATATAGTCTTAGTTACTTTTAACTCGTCGCTGAGACAAAATACTTAATGCACCTAGTTGGGAAAGGAAAGGTTTATTTCTTACAGTTTTTGGAGGTTTCAGTCCATACTCAGTTGGCTCCAAGGCAGGGTGGCATGCCTAGGCCCCAGTTCATGACGGCTGCAAACAGCAAGCAGAAACCGGCAAAAGAGAGAGACACACCTTCTTCCTGCCATTAAATCACTCTGGCTCCACCTCTAGGTCGGTGTAGCATTCACACCCCCAATCCAAGCGCTAGACAATGAACCAATCACAAATGCATAATGGAAAGGCATGAGGCCTGGGGGCCACCGACATAACCATGACATATATATAAAGCAACGGGGAGTGAAAAGCATAAATATATATATACATAAATATTTATGCTTTTCACTCCCCGTTGCTTTATTTTTAAATTTGTTTTAACTGATGACATAAAATCATGCATATTAATTTCGTGCCATTTTATATTACATTGCATAATATTTAAGTCAGTTTAAATATATTTATCTCAAATACTTATCATTTTTATGGTAAAACTTTAAACTCCCTTTCTTCCAGCTTTTTGAAATGCACAGTATGAGGTATGATAAAGATATAATTAGTTTAAATAAAGCATTTAAAAATTGATTGCAGCCATTAACCCCGCTCAAAACACGCCTCCTCATTTTAAAGACACTTATCTCACTGTTCTTGCCACTTTTTAAAACACCACATGGTTGGAGTACATAGTGATTACCCTCTTCATAGGGCGTGGGTACATGCTGGTAACCTATTGCTGCATTTCATGTTCTCTTTGGAAGCAGTCTGGGAACTCCTCCTTCATGTCTTTAGTTGCTATGTCATGGCTGCCTCAATGTTCTGAATCAATTTAAAAGATTTACCTTTCATGGTCATTTTGACTTTGGGAAAGAGCCAGAAGTCACACAATGCCAGATTCAATGAAGACACAGTGTCATGTTTGTATTTGACAGAAATTGCAGTAAACATTTTGAATTGATTGAAGACCTCAAGGCAGCCACAACAGTGCAATTGATGCAGTTGTAAAAGAAGACTTTCACGTTTTCCTGATTATTGATGGTGAACATTTTTCTCATGAATCCATAGGTCATTTGTATGTCTTCTTTTGAGAAGTATCTATTTAGAGGTATTACTCATTTGTACATCAGATTATTTGTGTTTTTGATACTTAGTTTTGGAGTTTTTTTGTATATTTTGGATATCAAGTCCTTGCCAAATGTATAGTTGCAAATATTTTCTCTCATTCTGTAGGTTGTTTCTTCACTCCATTAATTGTTTCTTTTGCCCTGCAAAAGCTCTTTAGTTTGATATAATCCCATTTGTCTATTTTGTTTTTATTTTTCTGTGCTTTTTGAGTGTTTTCCAAAAATTATTTGCCCATTCCAGTGTCCATAAGTGTTTCCTCTATGTTCTCTTCTAGAAGCATCCTAATTTTAGGTCTTACATTGAATTCTTTAATATGTTTTGAGTTGAATTTCCTAACTGATGAGACAAGGAGCTTCTGCGTGTCACTATCCAATTTTTCCAGACTCTCCTTCAAATGTGTGTTCTTTGCCAAATAGCATTTGACTGTAGACATGGGTGTACTTCTAGGCTGTTTCATCCCATTGGTCTATATTTCATTTTTTACGCCAATACCATGCTGTTTCAATCAAAACTACAGCTTTCTAGTATGTTTTGAAGTTACATAGTATAATAGCTCTTGCGTTGTTCTTTTTGCTCAAGACAGTTTGCCTATTGAAGTTTTTTATGGTTCCATATAAATTTTAAAATTGTTTCTGTAGTTTGGTAGAGAGCATTTTAGCATTTTCATAGGGATGGCACTAGATCTGTAATTTACTTTGGGTAGTTCAGTTGAACAATATTGTTTCTTACAATCCACGAATATAGGTTGTCAGTTTACTTTCTTGTATTCTCTTCAGCTATTTTCATTAATGTCTTACAAGATTAACTGAAGTGATCATTCACATCTTTGGTTAAATTTATTCCTAAGTATTTTGTGGGGGTTTTTTGTAGCCACTGTAAATGGATTGCTTGACTAATTTCTATTTTAGTAAAATTATTATTGGCATGTAGCAGTGCCATTGATTTTTGTATGTTGATTTTGGATCCTGCAACTTGAAGAAATTCATTTATTAGTTCTCCTAGTATTTTGGTGGTTTTGATATACATATATATATATATATATATTCATGTCACATACATCAGGAACAACATGACTTCTATTCCAATGTATATGCCATTTATGTTTTTCTCTACTGAATGCTCTGGTGAGAACTTCTAGAACTGTGTTGAATAAAAATGGTGAAAGTTGGCATGTTTTCCTTGTTTCAGATCTTAAGAAAGGATGTTTCAGCTTTTTCCATTCAGTATAATGTCAGCCATTGACTTTTCGTAAGGGGCTTTTATAAGGGGTAGGTATTTCCCTTTATACCTAATTGTTCAGTGTTTTTATCCTCAAGAATGTTGAATTTTTCAGTAGTTTTTCTGTATTCAGATGCCCATACGGTTTTTGTTCCACATTTTGTTGAAGTGCATTACATACTTGATTTGCACACATTTAACCATTCTTGTATCTCTAGGGTGAATCACACTTGATCACAGTGAATAATCTTTTTATCGTGCTATTGCATTCTGTTTTCTAGTAATTTGTTGATGATTTTTACATCCATATTCATCAAGGATACTGACGTACAGTTTTCTTCCCCCGCCCTTTTTTTTTGCTGTTGTTGTTACTGTTGTATGCTTATCTGGTTTTGGTATCAGGGTAATTCTGGTCTCATGCGATGTTTGGGGAAATTCCTTCCTCTTCTACTTTTTGGTATAATTTAAGGATAACTGGTACTAGTTCTTTAATTGTTCAGTAGGAGTCAGTGGTGAAGCCACTTGGTGCTGAACCTTGACAGCATTGTATTGCTGTCAATCTTGCTGCTTGTTCCTGGTTCCCTACTTCCTCACGAGCCAGCTTGGTAAGGTGGATGTTCTAGGAATTTGTCCAGTTCTTCTGGGTTACTAAATTTGTATTTCTGTGGTATGAGCTATAATGTCTCCTTTTCATCTCTGACTTTATTGTAGTGTTATCTCTTCTTTACTTACTGTAGCTCACAATTTGTCTATTTTGTTTATCTTTCTGTACAAACAGTTCTTTTTTAAATTGAGCTTTTTCATTACATTTTATCCATTTCTTTGATCTCTGCTTGCGCTTTTACTACTTACTTCATTCTAACTTTGCATTTAGTTTGTTTCTGTGTTTTTAGTTCTTTGATATACATTTTAAGTGATTGGTTTAAAAATCCAACTTACCCTGCAAAAAAGACAGTGCTGGAATTTTCAATGCACCTATTGAGTTTTAAAATCTAACAAGATTGAGAAAGAGTGGAGACTTGTACTTTTCTATAGTATTTTAGTATCTGGCTGTTTCATGCCTTCCACACCAACTCCACAAAATCCATTTGTGGCGTAAGACCCAGCCTGACTGCCTAAATGCTTTCTCACTCAACCTGCTTCCAGCAGAGAGAAGGCAGCCACATGTGGGCTGTATAAGTGAGCTGCTCAGTGGTGCAGAGATGACATGAAAAAATTCTGATTCCACTTGGCAGCAACTTTCCACTATTTTGGCAGGTCCAAACCATAATCACTATGGCGTGTGCAGCTTGGAGAGGATTATAAGGCTGGCTGGCAACCAAGAAGCTAAAAAGGCATCTATTGGTCCAGCAAGGGACTCCATGTTGGGAATGCCAGGGTCGCAAATGTCCACAAACACATTTTTCACAGATATCCCAGGAATTTGAATGTCTAGAAAGTCCTGTCTCTCCCAAGAGCTTGAAAAACAGAAATTTCTCACTTAATACAGTTTTTTGGGAGAACATGAATAAATGCATATCTACTGACTCCTGTTTCTTAGAGCTACGTTTGTTACCTAGAGGAATGGTAAATTCACCAGTGCCCATTGCCTTCCCTCTCTCCAAAAGTGTGCAATCACTCTCAGAAGGAAGAGAGGTTGGGAGGAATCCTATTCTGCTCTAAGAGTACTATTGTTTAAAGTGCACTGTGAGCTGGCTTTATGAGTTTTGAGGTCTGGTACAAAACTATAGAAAGCTCCTCTTAATGAATCACCTCTCTCCAGCCAGATAAACATTCTTAAGTAGATCTTTAAGTGATTAAACCTGGAAGACAACGAAATACTCTAATACAGACAATATGCTGAGCCAGTATTCCTGAAAATGCTGCAAGAGAAGCTTGCCTCCAGACCCCTTTCTGCCATATTCTTCGGTGCATATAGCACAAGATCATCACTTATGTTGTAAACATTCACAGTCAGAAAACACTGGAGGCAGGGGCTTATTTTGCATTATGTTTGCAGAGGAACAAAATCCCAACAAGACAACAAAGGCCTCAGCTTATGAAATTGACAAACTAAAATAATAATAACTACTGCTTCAATTAAATGAAACTTGTTTCCAAGTCAAAGGTTCAGCTCTAACAGGATGCCCGGAAGCTACTATTCAAAGTCTAAGTCTGAAAGGATTCCTATATATATGATGCTCCTAAAAAGGAAAAGAAATTCCCTCCAGCCAAATCTAAAGTTTGATTCATGAAGGAGACTTGGGTAGGAACACCAGCCACAAATGCTACAGTTTCATAGATCTGAATGGCAATAAGTTCCGGGGAATTAACTGTAGCTACTCTGTGTATATTCTGTTCTTTTCAGTTATTACCTATAACTAGTTCCTTTTTTGGGAGGGTCTTACTTTTATGAACATTAACACACAGTATTCCTACCAAAGGAATAGAGATCAAAGGGAAAAGTAATATAATCCAGACCCTGTTTCCACTAGGACACTCTCTGGCAGCTTGCCATGTTTGCTAATTCTACAAAGTGGTTACCAAAGTAATTGGGTCCTAGGGCTCCTGAGGCAGGCTGAAGAGAGAGCAAGCATCAGGAGCCAGGTAAGTCAAGTTAAGGAGACAACAGTGGTAATTTGCAAATACTTACAGTATGGGGCCAATGGGGACTAGGCTGGACAAAGTCTAAGAGAAAGAGGCCATTCAGCCCTGACAACAGTTGCTGTGTATCGTGCAAGCCTGGCAAGGTCAGGTGCTGGTTCCACAGACATGTTTCCTGCGGGAAAAGTTATCAGGTTATACATTTATGATATGTGCACCTTTGATACTATACTTTGTCAAGAAGTAATCTTCAAAAGCTGGTCTGAGGCCAGATTTTCTAGAGGCCAGAAAGACAAAAA